AGGAATGTCCAGCAGTGCAATCTCTTGGTGTCTTTGCACTCTGAAGAGAAAGCCATAAGGAAAGGTATGCTGAGGAACTGGGGTGACATTCAAAAGCTGAAGAAAAAAGTAAATGAGCAAAGATCCATTAATAACCAGGGGTAGAAACAGTGTTTAGAAAGTGTTCAGGAAAGGTTTATCTAGTTCCTTTCATAGGAATGGGTTAGCAGAGCTTCCTTCTCACTGTAGATTTTATCCCGTTTTGCAAACATTGAATTCTGCAGGCTCCCTAAGGAGCTCTGGCATAGAGAAAGTCAGTATGTGGTAACACCACTTCTACAGACACATAGTAATGTAGTTTTAAGACAAGCTACCCATGTTGAGCCTTTCAGTAACATCATCTTCTTCAGTTCTTCCTTCCCCATCAGATCTCTGCTTTATCCAAATTTCTGTAATGTGGCAGCTGAGCAGTGTCATTTGACATCTTCACTAGATCTGTGCAAATCTAACTGCTACTCTGCTGACAGTTTTCTGTCACTGTAAGTGAAACAACCTGGGAAGTAGACATAGTTCCAATCATGCAGACGCACACTGCAGGTAGAGCTATAATCATGTAAATGTACCTTATGTGAGCACAGCCCATTCCAGTAAATTAAAGGAATAAGCTATAGCAATACAAACACAGCTATCCTGTTTAATTGCCTCCACACCTCAGGCTTTGTTTCATTATATTTCTAACCAGACCTGGATACAGAGGCTGCAGAACTGTGACTGTTGTCATTTCCCTCCTGCATTACTTTTTTCTGCACGGAAGCATCATGTCTGGCTCTCTGATCAGCCAGACAGGGTCACTCCAGTGAGTGTGATAGCTTTTAAGGGAAGGACCAGCTCCCTGCATTAATGTAATTGCAGGTTATTTGTGAGATTCCTTCCATGTCTTACTTCCCGAAGGCCTGGCACAGAAATCCAGTTTTGTAATTTGAGTACTAAAGAGTGGCTGGATGTAATTACACGCTCCATTATTCCAGCAGCCTCTGTAGCACAAAAAGTAAAAGCTCAGTGTTGCCATTAGTACTGAAAATACACAAGCTGGTACATAATAACTGTCTTGTGCAAGCAGAGTAGTGAGCAGTGTGTACACTGGTATGACTTCAAGTTTAACTAGGGTCTATTTTGTACTGTTCATAAACGTTTCCCAAAAGAGACTGATGAGATTTCTAGTTACACACTGATTATATCTCTCTTGAAGCTGCAGATTGCACAGAAAATGTGTAGTAAATAAGCCTTGACAATAGCAGTAGGTTCCCCACTAAAGCAAAGCAGGATTTGGGGGAGCATAATTTACCTTTTTGTCAAATGCCATTTTGATGACCATAAACAGGGGGAATGAGATGTACGTGCTCAGACCTACAGACGGGTTGATCGCCTGCAGAACAAACGTAATTGCAGCTGAACATTTTGTCTCACAGCAGCTGCATGCTGCCTCTTGGGCTCTGTGAATGGTCTGGTCACTGGAGTTTGGCTGCTGTTAAATAAAGACACAGGAAAGAGAGAGTATTCTTGCAAGACCTGACATTTAAGCCTATATCCAGACATGAACAGGAAGTACATCTCCTAATTCATTAACACACTGTACATTAAAAATATTCATTGTAGGGTTTGGGCTATAAATTCTGCTTCTCAGTCAGACATCCTGTGCTATGACGGTAATAACACTTTGTATTTCTGCAAACAGAAGGTTATTACATTAAAGATTTAAGGCTCGCCGTGGCTTTGACTACTGGTTATTATTAGCATTGTTTTATAGATGAATACACAAATTCAAACTGAAGATCAAGGATTTACCAAAGTTTGTACGGAATAGTTTATAGAAGAACTAAAACTCCTCCAGAGCCAGAGTCCCATATTTCAACCTAGGGGCTATCCTTCTATCCCCACTGAGGTTGAGGGCAGTCCTGTCACGCACAGTGTGCTGAATTACGTGGGCTCTGGATACTCTCAGTAGATTTCCTTAGCTGGTGCTTCACTCCAGGGCAGAATCCGTGTGCGGGGCGCGCTGCTGTAGCAAAAAGCACTTGTGAAAGAGCAGCTGATACCCACAAAGGCAGCGACCCTCAGTAACGCTCCTGCAGAGAAGCCCTGCGTGGCGGCAGCTGTGGGCAGCGGTGCTGCGTGTCATTGGCCCAGGGTAATGCAGCTGGAAAAGGACTGTGTCTCCTCTGTCTTCTTTGCTGCTGCCCAAGTTTTGGAAGCCAGGTTGGCTCCTGGCCCTCCCGCTGGGTGGGGGACTGGGGAGATGTGGCAGTGGCTGTCCTGGGAGGTGGCCTGTCTGGGCAGCCACCATCACCTCCCCGGGTCTTCCCTTCTCGGCTGAGACCTTTCTGTCCACTGCAGGGGCACCTGATTAGTCAGGCAAAACCTGTGCTATGTGACATGCCCAGTGTCACTCAAGAAATGGCAAAGCATCAGCTCAATCCTGCTAAGAACCAGTGTTTTAATCACAAAGCCATCCTGCCTCTCCCCTCGTGTGGGAATTTTTAAAGACAACCACCCCGTTCACTACCCTTGCAGATGTGCAGAAGAGTGGCCCCTGCGAGAGGGGAGCGCTTGCTGCTGCTTCACTGGAAACAGAAACCAGGGCTTGGGATGAGCAGTTTGTCCCACAGCCGGTGTGGGAGAATCGATGCAGGACATAATGCCGTGGCATCGTGTGAGAGTGCCTCGCCAGGCGTCGATGCAGCCTCACGCGGTATAAACATCCTGTGGCACTAAACACGGTTTACAGTGCAATTAGAATGCTGATAGCAGTGTTCATAGGAACACACGAGGCAGTGTTGTCAAGTAATATGGCAATATGAGGGTAGATCTTAATGACAAAGTACCTTCTGTTGCTAGAGTAGTAAATAAAAAATGGCTGAACTCACCCTTTGTTGCTATGGTGTCCAAATTAGAAGCTACTACTTAGTGTTTATCCTCAGTTATGCTGCTCAGGTCCAAGCCTACATTCTTCTAGAGACAATTCAGCTGTTCTTTGAGGATCTGGTGGAGATAGTTTCCTAGCAGGCACGCACTGAGCTGGGGGCTGGGAGGCTGACACCGTGCTCACGGCTGTGTTGCTGACTTGCTGCATGACCGCTGGGTCAGTCCTACCAGCTTTCTGCGCTCCGGTTTGCCCTTCTGGCTTTGCCTGTTTCATCTTTTAAGGTTGCAAGGAAGGGATTTCTTTTAAATCTGTATTTGTACAGCACCTAATATAAAGGGATCTAGGTTTCAGTGGGTGGCCTTACAAGCTACTGCAGTGCAAACAGCGCACTGTGTAGTAAAGAGCTGTGTTACACAACCTCGGTGTAAGGGTGGTAAAGCAGCTACGTGGAGGCTGGGCAGACTTACTCAGGCTCAATTTATGTCTGCACAGCTTCTAATCTTTAAACTGCAATTAGAATCTCTTCCATGCTTGTGTGGTAAAGCCTTCTATCTCAAAAGACAGCTCAGTCAATGCCCTTTTGTTCTATATTTGAAGGTTGTACTACCATGACTGCGTCAAGAAGGGGTGTAACTCTTTTTTTTTAAACTTAGATCAATGTGCCAGTGAAAGTTCTGATAAAGATACAGCTACACAGCTGTAAAAGTGCATGAAACTGCATAATATTTTTGCTTTTTGGAATAGAAAAAGACTTTTATAGCAGTGTAACTATTTCTGTATATAGAAGGAAAAGATGAATTGACCACTTCAATTCTGCCAGTCTAACACAGCAAAATATTTTAAGTGCAATTCCATTACAGGATTAAGCTGGGGGAAGTTCATGTACTTCACAGGTGTAAAATTGTCTTCTCCTTTCCTTTCTTACTGAGCTAGGAAGTATTTTTCCCTCTTGCCTTCTCTCTCCTTTCTTCTGGAGCAGGCTTTTCCTGTCATACTACATACTCTTGAAAGAGTTTGGCATTTTGCCCTGCCCTTTGCAGCTTTGGAATGCTTTCTTCCTGTTTCTCAATCCCTGTTAGGGCTGCAAGTAAGGCAGAGGTGGTGTCTTTGTTTCACTGCTGCTTTTAAGTCACATGACGATATTTAGGAAATCTGTGGACCTGCAGTACTGCAAGATTATACCCATCATGAAAAAAAGATTACAAAAAATGCAAAATGGGTTAATGAGTGCCCAGATCCTGACGGGGTCAGGTTCAAGTTTAGGGCAACAATAGCTACTAGTGGCCAGCAGTTTGATTCTCCAACATTTTCATTGATCATTTGGCCAGATAATTTTAAAAAGTAATAATAATAATAATAAAAAAAGACAGGCTGGACCTGTTTGGATACCAGCTGAGAATTCACCAGGAAACTGCAAATGTAAATGTGATGTTCACAACAGAGCCATGCTCGGCGTCCTTCACAGTGCCAGGTATGCTGTTGCTTTATGAAAAAATAATTAGACACCCACTGTTCTCAGAAATGAGAAACACCCCACAACATGTCCAACAGATCCTTCCTACTATCCTTGTTCTTTGTGGCTTTATCTATACAAAATAAAAGATGTAGAAGGTGATACCATAGGCCTCTGCGTTGCTTCCTAGATTTCATGTAAGACTTTACTCAGAGGTAGCAGGCAGGCAGTTAATTATTACTTCAGACTGAGGTCTTGACATTAGTGCCAGTCAGGTCATGATTTGCCATTGATAAAAGCATTGTGCAGTGCCAAGTATAGCAACGCTTCAAAGATGGTAACAAAAAGAGAACGCCTGGTTGCTTAGCAAGTACCTGTAAATTTAGTGAATACCTATCAGTCAGTCTGTCTGTCTGTCTGTCTGTCTGTCTGTCTGTGTATCTATCTATCTATCTATCTATCTATCTATCTATCTATCTATCTATCTATCTATCTATCTATCTATCTATCTATCTATCTATCTATCTATCACCCAGGTAAAGGATGATCCTCAAGTCTAATTCATTTCAATGGGATTAAAATTTTCCTTCCTGTGTTTCTCCTTATAGATTTTCTAATAGTAGAACTGTTACTTTTCTGTCCTAGGAAAGCTTCATTCTCAGTTTTCAGCTCCGTCTGACAGCAGCTCTAAGACACTGCAACTGGGGACTCCATGCTGCTCAGCATTATTTGGAAGCCCAGCAAACCAGTATGTATTGTATCCACAGGGCAGTGCCATATACCATCCGTTCAAACCACTTGATGTCTATTTCAAATAAGGTTTTTTAACACTTTTATTTTAGAAGAGCTTGTGTGGACTTAAGCAGCATCTGAAATTAAATAGGGCAGCGTAAGCTAATAGCATGACTCATGGGAAGGAAATAGAGCAGCAGCTGGTAAAAACTGTTGGGTAACAAAGAGTCTTTATATTCATAAATTCATACAGGCTAACATGAGGCTTACAAAAAGGTTGTTTAAGAAACAGAAAACCAAATTCCAGTCTTGAGAATCTCTCAGTTCTTAAAGACTTATCTTTCCATCAGACACTCCTTTCTCTCTTCAGTCCCTCTTGTACACCTGATTCCTTAGGAAGAGAGAGAAAGGAAAAAAAGGCCGTCTTTGGTGAATGGGCTGGTCGAGTGGTGTTTCTGCATACTGCACACGTATCTGTGTTTACAGTAAGTTAAAATAACAGTACAGGTACACCAGCTGTGAATTTGTGCAGATCTTTGCTAAACCATTGACTCATACCCGTAGAAGCAAATCACACATTTCTGATACCAACCATTTTGTCATTAGTGAATTGAGCAGGAGTGCCGTATGAATGCTATTGTGTCAGCAGAGATTAGACCTTGGACACTGCAACAAAAGACATTATCGATGTGCTGATGTTACTGAATCCAAATCCTGGCTCTGAGACAATGTGATTATAATCTAAAATCAGCTGATCTAACCAGGAAATAATTCTACTGAAGTTAATGGAAATTACACAGGGTTTTATACAGTGTCGGGCGAAAAATGGTACCAGGCCCAGTCTTCTGTTGTGCAAGGTGAGACTGGTTTTAGTTTCACAGTTTATCTGAGTGATGGGCATTCATCTGTGACTTGTTGGGTAGTTTGGTTTGGGTGTGAGTAGCCTTTGACACAGCTGATCACGAGGCACTAGAAAGCTTTATGAAGACAAGCGCTCAAGAAAATATAATATGATTTTATGAAGAATCCTGCCTGGTGAAGTAAGGATGAGGCATTACCCGGAAGGAGCATTGCTTACAGTGTTACTGTGCAGGTTACACCCTGCAGAATGCAGAGTAGATGGAGGCTGTAAGCAAACTGATAGGAGAGTGAATGTGTATTGTCCAGCAAAAACCAGGCAGGAGGAGCTTCCATGTTCCCAGGTGGGCCATGCTGCAGGGAGATGTACCCTGAGCAGGTTAGCTGGCTTTGCTCCCAAGTGAGAGGTGTGCAAGTGTAACAGATTTTGCTTAACAGGCATTAGACAATAATGCTGACAGATAGAAGAGGGCTGTTCTTAGATGGATACTCACGTAATGCTTGACAATAGGAACATGCCTTGCGTGAGTTAGTGGGTGAGTTTACTAAACATGTAGGAATATCCAGTTTCTGGGAAGGGTTGAAGGGTGCTGGATGCTCTGGCAAGAGCAACAGTCAGAAGAATTCTTTATGTGAAGTCTACCATATCTTCCAATCTGCATTTGGGTAATAAGAGCTAGTGCATTGCTGCAGCATTCAGAGAATTCAGCTCTAAATGGGAATGGAGCATAAGATGTCTTTAGGGATACTCACAGACAACAGGAGAGGAGTGAAGAGCAAAGGCAAAAAGCTGCTGGAAAAAAACCAAAACAGATAAGAAGGAACACGTACCATTTAGTGTTTCCTGATGAAACAGAGTCAGGGCCTCAAACAGAAATTCATGGACTGCAAAACCAAGACTGCTATCCCTGGGGAGCAGTTTGTGCCAGCAGTTAAAAGGTCCCAAGCCACAGACACAGTAACAACAAAGATAATGAGCATTGCTGGGCATTACACACAGATGACCATAGCTACAGCCACCCAAAGCTTTGGGTAGAGGCAGCTGTGCCACATCGCAGTAGCACACAGCACTATGAGGTACAGATAAAAAACAATCACAGCACAACCGAGAGAAGGAGGGAAAAGTTTATGTTATTTATAGTAGCATCCACTATAGGGAGTTAACAGGGAGTTAACCTGCACCTTCCCAGTAACAGAGCTGTGATATCTGCCATATTCTTGATTTGTTATGAAGGAGAAGAACCGTACTGAAGTGTTTCAGTGCCATTAGGAAGTGAAGTACAACCACTTCACTTGGAAGACTGAGTTTAATGAAAACACCTTACAGTGGAAGGGCACAGGAGGTTCATGACTGGCCTGCAGCTCGTACTGCATTTTTGTCTTTCCTGATCTCATCCTAGCGACACTCCAGACCTCCAGCTTTCTTTCTGTCACTAAAACTCCTGCCCTTTCTATGAGATCACCCAGATAGGAAGCCAGAAAATATAAGTCAGTACTAAAGTCATAAGGTCTATCTGGTCTTCCTCTCCTGTGAAATCTCTCCTCTTTTTGCCCCCTGTTGTATGATAAACAAGTAAGGAAACAGAATTTCAGGGAGAGGAAGTGATAACCTTGAGTTACCTTTCAGGGCAATGTGATAATCTAGGCCGAGTTGATTAGTCATTCAGAACAATTAAAATATTGCTTTATAATATTTAAGCAACTTAATCTCTGCAAATGACTGTCATATCTGGGAAAGGCATTTCTTGCTAGGGGAAGAAGAAAGTAGATACACAAAATGATTTAATTCCTCTGGGTTTTTTAGAACATAAATACATACTTTGAGAGTGATTGTGATCAAACAAACTTCAACTGGGATTTGACAAAGAGCTTGTTTATACCTCTAAGGCAAAATGGCAGACATTAATTTAATGTCTTTATCCATTTCCAGTGCATGGCATAGGCCTCAGTTTCAGAAAACATTCTGTTCCATTAAGTTCCTCTAGAATATCTGAGCTCTTGTGATATCTTGATAATGAATTATTTCTTTGTATCAGATCAAGTATCGGGGATTAAACTCCTGGTGTTTTGCATCCAAACGAGATTTCTACTGGAACAGAAGTATTTGCATTTAGAAATTGATTGTGTGAAACAATGTGCTACAATTTTAATTATCCTTTGGTGATTAGACTTTTGGGGATAAAAGTTCCAGTGTGATTATTTTGCACAGAATCTCTAATTTCTCTGAAGTATAATCCATCATTCTGTGGTTACTATTAATCTAGTCAGGTCATTTGCATGCTCTGCTCATATTTAACAGATCCTATTGCTGTCAGGGAGGAATTGGGAAGCGGAGAATACAAAAGAAAATCCATGGTTTAATCTTTCAGAAAAAAAATTCTTCACATTTTGAAATCTATCCAGTAGATGTCAGGTAAGTCAATAAGATACATGTCACAGAAAGAATACAAACCCACCGCTCATTCGTCAAACAAAAAGAAATAGGGACTATTTTCCTCTCATCTCGTTAGCTGCAGTTTGAGGGATTTCAGCGGCCTCTGATGCCCTCTGATGGGCAAACCTGTGGGAGCCCCATCCTGGAGCCCCATCCTTCCTCCTGGAGCCCCGTCCTTCCTCCTGGAGCCCCGTCCTTCCTCCCAGAGCCCCATCCTGCGGGACCCCCATCCTCCCGGAGCCCTGTCCTGTGGGAGCCCCATCCTCCCAGAGCCCTGTCCTGTGGGAGCCCCATCCTCCCGGAGCCCCATCCTGCAGGAGCCCCATCCTCCCGGAGCCCTGTCCTCCCGGAGCCCTGTCCCGCGGGATCCCCGACCCTGGGGAGCCCCATCCTGAGGGAGCCCCGTCCTTCCTCCCAGAGCCCGGGCAGGGACCAGCGTGGCCCACGGGGAAGGGCTGTGGCGCTGCCCAGGTGGCTACGCAGCCTTCGCTGGGAGCCTGCCAGCTCCTGGAATAAACCCATGTTTAAGGGGTTTGTAGCTTAGAAATATTAAGTCACCTTTTACCAAAAACTTGGCAGATCCTTTCCTTCCTCCTTTCCTTCCTCATTTACTCAAGTTTGTTTGTTTAGCTTCACTTCAGTAGGAAAATATTCTTGACCCTGATCCCAGATTTGTCACATTTCCTCCAGAATGATACCCTACCCATCAGGAATTGAAACCAAGCATGTGCCTTGGAGAGGAATGCCTCTCTAAGTGATGGTAGGTATCTGGACCAAAGCTGATAATAGAAATTATAAAGTATCACTTAGCATATTAGAGCCACTGCTGGGGTGTTTGACAAATGCTGGTGAAAATGAGAAAATGGGATGGGAGGAATGAAGAGAAGAAATGGAATTACAAAACAGAGACTTCAGTGAGTAGGAGGAGGGGAAAAAAAAGAAAGGTTAATAAATAAATAATTTGAGTTAAAAATATGAAGCAGAGAAAAACAAAAGATAAAGTTGGGGGGGGGGGAATCCATATTCTCTGGCAGGAAGCCAAGAGAAGTGTCACCTCTGAGAGCCAGTTCGGGCATGGTAAAAAAGAGGCCCAGATCTCCTGAGTAAATTGTAGCTGGTATCTAGAAATTAACTGAATTTTAAAGGGTAAAACACATCAGAAAGAAAGGAAATACTTAGGACTTCTGACTTCAAAGGGAATTTCATTGGAAGCTGTGCTATTAAATGATGTTATCTAACGACATAGGATCAGCATCTTTACTTTGGAGTAAAGGACAAAGTGAGTGAGTTGAGAAATAGTGTGGATTTTACTACAGATCCGGCCAGGTCATTTTCTCTGTGTGCCTCAATTTTCTCAGCTGGTTCCCCATCCTCTTCCTCGGGCAAAAAGCCGGAGTGCCAGAATACCTCCAAGGAAGGGATTCAAGTGGCATTTTTTGGCTTGACTAGAAACAGTAGTGTCTAGAAATTTCATGAGGGGGACTGTCCCCGCACAGATAAATTTCCAGCCCGTACTTCTATGGCTTGGCTCTTCAGGATTCAGTAGTTCTAAACAGGCTGAGAGGGAAGAGAGGACATAGCAGGGACTTTCCTCTTATGTGTGACTCCTACCACTACTGCCGCTTTGACAGCCACAATGGGAAATTTTTAGTGAGGGAAAACCATTGGCATTCACACTAAAGCCTGACAAGACTCTGTGGATGCCTTAGGCTGCAATTCTTATTTTAGTTTACACATAAGCTTAAGGAAGTGCATTAAGAAGCTCTTGCTAAATCGTCTTAAAAAAAATCCACGAAAATAATCAAGAAGCATGAGATTGTCAAGAGCCACTAAAGAAATGGTACCACAACTCTCAAGTTGTCTGGAGCTAGGGAACTTGGAATGATTTATCTTCAAATAATATCTAACTAACAGTTATAAACTGTCATGTGTCTGCCTGCTGGAAGACAAAATCATGTGGCTTTTCATGTATCCAACAGAAAGGATCTAGCACAAAAATTAATAGTAGAGATACTGTGTTTTTTTCTAGGACAGCAGATCACTTCTAGGATAGTGGGTCTCAGGGCACTTTGTACTGAACCTAGGAAGAGGAGAAAATTATTACAAGGAAGCAGAGAGCACTGGGAAAGAAAGATCTTGACCAAATACTGGCTGGAATTTTCTGGAGTTTGGGAGAAGCACTATGAGAATTTCCAACATCACTGTACAACCTCTGAAGTTTTCCCCTGTATAAGATCTGGGAAGCAAGTCATGTTTGCTTTTAGGGAACTGATTTGCTTTGAGGAAAACACTATGAGAAACAGGAAGAAGCACTGTTTGTTTTGTTTAGTAAATTTTGAAGGGAAGAAATAGCCTGTCTTTTTCTCCCTAAGCCAAGAGTTCCCAAGATGCTTCTCTCTCAGCTAATCTTACCACCCTGAGTTCTTTCTGGCTTTTTGAAACATGCTTTTCATAAGCATATCAGTAAGCTGAAGCCCTTTCCTGCCCCCTACATGAATTATTATTGTTTAGATTTTGGCAGAACTTAGAGATCCCTATGAAGATTGTGGCTGTATTGCCTTAAGTGCATATTATTCCTGCCTGATTGCTGTGGGATACTTAGAGGTCAAATATATAAACCGCTGGAAAAGGAGATTTGACAAATTCATGGAGGAAGGGCCCAGCAGGAGTGGTTCTGCCCCCAGCACTCCCAGAACTGCTGTCTGCTGGGGAGGGGGAAGGGGTGGCAGCGGATGGAGCGCTCTGCTTGCGCGGCCGTGCTGCCCGGTCGCTGTCTGTAAGCAGAGCAACAGAATTGCTGGGGAAAATGGGCCATTGTTCGGCAGCGTGCCCCCGATCTGCCGTCAGCACAACGAGCCAGCTGCCCTCAAGCCAGCGAGGAAGGTGAGGCTGAGATAAAGCTGGCTGACTCGGCCTGCACGTGGAGGGGGTGTTCATGCGATCCCTCCCAGAGGCGGGTGCTGGTCGAGGGCCAGGGCATCCCATCTCCAGCTGCGACAGTGCTGGCAGAGAGCGTATGTCTGTGGCTGGAGCCAGGCCTCGCTCCTCGCAGGCGGAGACTGGTTTTAAGGCTGACGTTTCAACCAGCGAGACCCCTCCAGACAGAGCGGAGCTGGCTGCAGGTGTCATCATTTCCAGATGTTTGTCACTGCCCCTCTGCCAAATGCTGCTACTCCTGCTCCTGCGCCAGCCAACGGGGCCATGGGAGGAGTGGGAGAAGGGACGAGCCCTACCCCTCTGTTTTTTTTCTAATCATAAGGTAATAAACAATTCTAGGCAACATCTTGGCTCTGTTCTTTTCAGCTATTATGCTCTCTGTGACAAAGCCTTTTCTGTCAGTCCAAACAGCTTCTGGGTGCGCAGTGGAGTGACCCAGACTGTGATCGCAGGGGACGCGGGGCTGGCCCTGCGCACCGCGGCGGGGAAGACAGCCCACAGGACTCGGAAGCTTGGAGAACAGAGCCCCGGCCTCATCCCATTTTCCGGAGTTTGAGGTGACCATTTACCTGCTCAAGGGGAATGTTGGGGAGAGCAACAAATGCTTATAAAACGGTGCAGTGATGCAGACTGCTCTACTGCTGATGGCGTTATTGGCGGAGCCTTTCTTTGTGCTCAGACATACAAATATGATTAGAAAAGGTTCCAGGGACCAGCTTTACTTGCCATCCAACTCGGTTAAGATTTTGATAATTAAGCAAATGTATAAACTTATCATGTAGGTTTGATTTAGATATGAGTATATATTAGCAATACATTAGAAGTCTTTTCTAGAACATGAGACAACATTTAGTTTTAAAAATCTTTTTGAAACATATTAATGCTGACCATTATAATGCACTCTAATGCAAAGGAATCAATAGCCTTTACACCACAGTTAGTTTATTGTACACAGCCAATGAATAATACAAAATTCAGTGCACTTAACAGCCCCATATTGGACTTCACAATTTGTATAAATCAGAATGCTTTTTGCATTTCCTGAAAGATAGTACCACAAGTTGTACTTGAAACAGAAACCTACTATTTATTCTTTAACCAATTAATTGTTTTTTTCTTAAATAAAACATTTGCAATCAATTTTCATCTTTTTATAAAACATCTGCCTCTTCAAATATTTGCTATGAACCAGGTTCCTGAATTTGTTGCTAGAACGCAATGGAATTGTTCATACTGTAAATCTGAATTACAGGAATTACACCGTTATTTACAGGGAAAGCTACCTCAGAATATATTTCATATTGCTCTTGCAGGTAGTAATTAATATGTGCTACAATAATAGCAAGAGTCTCAAGTCAAATCAAGGCCCCTGCTGACTGGAACAAGAGAAAGAAAGTCTGTTTTATTCTCCAGTTCTTCACTATGCATTTGACAATTTTAAGTCCTGTGTTCAAGAGGTCTTACCTCAAGTTCCATCTTTATTTATATTGTCAGGATTTTAACTTGATTCTAGCACAAGAGGACATTATTTTGTGCTTCTGTCTACCCAGAAGGAAATCACATTAACATTCCCAAGAAGAAAACTGAAAGTGGTTGTTTATTTATCTTATTATCAATGTATCCTACTTTTCTGAGTCACAAAGAGTAAACAATTGGCTGGCTACTGTGTAACTAGGCTGGGGAAGAATTTTTGTGTGCTACATTATGTATTTTTAGTAACTGCTTGATTTCTGCAGTGAAGCCTTGTGAAGTAACAGAAGCCGCTAAACTAAAATAAACTATTTTATAAAAAGAATAACCTTTTATTTAAAAGGTAAAATACAGCTATACATTCCAGTCTGTGTACAGTATCAAAATTGTAGATAATCTCTGTAGAAAATTGTAGATAATCTGGCACAGCGGCTTTGAAATGGCCAGTGCAATTTGAATAAAGTAAGCATCCACCAAGGTGTCTTTCTGCCAAGAGAAGGTGTAAATCGTCACATAAAATCCTGCTGAAACTTCAGACCAACGCACACCCCAGATTTGGAGAGGCAAAACGTTCCCTTGTCATCTGTGGTCAAACGATAAGACATTTTGGTTTACAGTGATTTATTGAATGGGTAATTTCAAGGGAGGAACTTTTAACCCAACTTTATGTTTTGAAGTGTAGTTTACACTATTTCAGTACTTTTTAACTTGGGAGGGGGTTTTGCCTCAGTACTTTTAAACTTGGGAGGGGGTTTTGCCTCTTTCCCGGGCTCTGCAGGGTGAGCGATGGCAGGGCCACAGGGAAGCTGCCCCTTTGCTAGTTTTGCTCAATCGCCTCACGCACAAACCTCTGTTCTCTTTGTGCGAAGAGCAGAACCACCCAGCCAGGCCCTTTCTTGCTTCACCCAAGGCTCGGGCAGCTCCTCCTGCGACCCACCCGCCGCTGTGCCCCCGGGGAAACCGCCGGGGCCGCCTCAAGGCTCTTTTCCCCTCAGCCCGTTCACTGCACCGAAGCTCGGTGTGGGGAGAGAGGGGGCAGCACCACAAGCTGCCGGTGCAGGCAGAGCCGCCTCCCGGGCCCCCCCCGCACCACACTCGGGTCTGAGGAGGCGAGAAGCAACGGTGCAACGCCGAGGGGCTGCCCGCCCTCAGCCATGGCGGCCGGTGCCCTCACGCAGCCCCGCGCATGCGCGGCGGCCCAGCTGCGGCGCAGGCGGGGGGCACAGGCGCACTCCGCTCCCCGCCCCGCCCGCCGCGCAGGCGCAGTGCGTCCCCCGCCGCCCGGCGCTCCCCCTGGCGCTGCTGCTCGGGCGGGCGGGGGCGGCCTGCGCTCCCGCTTCCGGTGTGGTGTCATGGCGGGCCCTGCGCGCTGATGGCTGCGGGGAGCTGAGGGCCCCGGAGCCGCGCCAGGGATACGGAGACCCTCCCTTCGCGTCTCCTGCCGCCCTCCGCTGCGGCCATCCGCTCCCCCTTCCCTGGCCGGGCAGGCGGGGCGGGGGGGATATGGCGGCCCACAAGCCGGTGGAGTGGGTGCAGGCCGTGGTGAACCGCTTCGATGAGCAGGTAGCGGAGGGGGGGGGGGGGGGGGGCGGCCGTGAGGGAGGGGCGGCTGCCGCGGCCGGGGCCGGCGGGATGGGGCGGGCCGGGCCGGAGCTGAGGGGCCTCCAGGGGCTGGGGGCGCGGGGAGCGGGGCGAGCGGCGGGGGGGAGGCTGCCCCGCTCCCCGGGGCGGGGGCGGCGGGCGGGAGCGCTGCCTCCCGCCTTCCCCCCCCCCTCCCGCCGCCGGCTGCCCGGCCGCGCCGAGGGAGCTGGTCCCCAGCGCCCGGTTGGGCGGCGGGTGTCCCCGTCCCCTCCGCCCTCCTGCCCGGTCAGCCCCGGCCGGGGGGCGGCGGTGGCTCCTCGCTGCGCCCATTGTGCTGGGCAGGGTGGCTGGGTGGGGCCGGGTGCTGCTGTCCCTGGGGCTTCCCTCACCTCTTTTTGGAGAGGGGTGTGTGTGTGTGTGTCTGTGTATCCCCCCGTGCCGCTCTGCTCGGGATGCAGCGTCGTGTCGGTCAGCTCTGTGCAAGGAGTGTGAGTGTGTGTGTGTGTGTGCATGTGCGTGTGGTGGTGGGGGGAGATGCCCGGTTCTGCTTCGCTTCTGCTCCCCCCCCCCCCTTCCAAAAGTGTGTCTGCTTTTCGTAGACATTCCTGCGAAATGTCATCTCGCTCTTCAGAAAGGAGGTGAAGCCTCAAGACTGAGTTTAAGGACGGCTGTGTGAAACTGCTCAGGCCCTTCTGCCTTGTTCCCCACAGCAGAACAGGGGATGTCAGTGTGAAATTTCATCCACATCACTGGGAGCACAGTTGTATGGGATGAAGAGGGTTTTCTAGCCAGTGTTGTTATAGTGATAGATGTTTACTTCTCTTTACAAAAGGCAGTGCTAGTAGTTTGGAGAAGGATTTTCTGAATGGAAGGAAGAGGGATTTGTTGACCTTAGACTTTTTATTTCACTGATCCACATACAGAAACTGCTTACTTGGATTAGGTGGTATGACTCTTTCAGAGGGGCTAAGCTTAGTGCTTAGACTCTGCATTTTTGCTCCCAAGACGCTCTCCTGATGTGTAAGTGTGAGCTCAGTTTAGGCTGAATGATCAGCTTCTGTTGTCTGTCTCATTTTGCTATGTGGTGAGTACAGCCTGTGTGTCACACAAGACACAGCTCTGTGAGACCCTGTTCAGGGTATCATCTATCAAAAACATTAAGTTGGTTCTGCAGATTGGATTTTGTTCACCTGCCTTGTAATCATATGTCCCTTAGTGATGCTTGTCTTTTAACGACCTGCAGAAAGATTGTGGCCTAGCTGAATAAAAATATGTTCCTTTTTACATTTCCATTAAAGCTGCTGTAGATTAAGTTTATTTTAAAAAGGAAAATAGCAAACTTTGCCTTTTGACATTAAAATGATGCAGATTTTTCCAATACATTTTAGGCATATTTGCATAGTTAACTTATTCCCCCCCCCCTTATCTTGAGTCATAGATCATTTTTTCCATAAGCTTAAAAAGCATGGCACTGGTTATGCTCCCAATATTGCAAGAAAATGTTTCTTTGTGTATTGGTGTTAAAAGGCCCTAGGCTTTGTCGCTTGCTTTGTTATGTATATTGTGGAATTGGGCTTGCCAACATCTGTTAGGAGTTAAGAACTTTAGCTTTTTAAACAGAATGATTTCTCTATATATTTTATGGGATAAACACAGATAGGTATATGGGAGGAATCCTCTTGATAGGAAGAAAGCTGTTCTGATTTTTGAGATGCTAAAATGTTGGAGTTGCAGGGATAATATACATCAAATACAGTACTAATGGTTCTAGTCATAGCGTCGCTTGCATGATAGGTACTATTTACAAAATTTTGATTAGTTTATTGGATATTTTTGTTTAACCAGTGCATTTTTTTTTTTAATATTGTATCATCAAGTGAATGAAGCAGTGAAGCAAGGATGAGACCTTAATCTACTTTTTCGTGAGAATTCTTCTCTCTCATTTATTAATTTCAACTCAGGGTTCTTAATTTTGTTCGTTTGCTTTTGATACATCATTTCCTCTGCCTTGCCTAGTCTGACGGTGATCTTCACAGTGGAAAGGCGACTGTTCTTTATTGAATACCCAATGCTGGGTTCTTGTGACACCACCGCTACTACCGAATGCATTGTCAATCAGTGGCGATATTTATGTGCTTCTTGTAACTCCTTCTATTTGTGCCATTATTGGGTAGTCATGTGGTTATCTACTTGGTAGATTTTAGACCGCTCATTTGAGCATCAGGTTCATACTTCATAAAAATACACTGAGTATATGCACATTATTTTAGTGGTGATAATGCATTTTTGAGTTTTTGCATACTATGTCTGTCCTTTCTAAATGCAGGACCTCTTGATTCAGCACCCAGGGAGCCACTACTTACTGTGTCATGGTTATGTTTGAATAAGGAAGGGGAGCTCATGATTGCTGTGGGTTGTTCAGTTATTGTTTGGGTTTTTTTTCTGCACAGGAGAAGACAAAATTTTCCAAGGTTTCTTCCTTTTACAAAGGAGGAAAATGTAACCATCTTTCACCAAAATGTATAGATGTAGACAGCCTTTTCATTCGTTAAGTGCTTGAATTCATTTTAAGACAGATGAAACAACAAATGGAGAGAATGCTAATCTGTACTGAAAACAAGAAAAATCAGTGCAAACCAGTCTGTTCTTGTCTACTCTTGTTTATTGTTACAAATGCTGCTTTAACTGAAATCTGCTTTTGTGTGTACAATTCTGTGCACCTAAAATGACTGGCAAGCATAGTTTTATGAATTAACCAACGACTGGCTCACTGAATAAATTTTTCAAATGTTCTGCCAGTCTTGCCCAGCTGTGCTCACTTCTGAGACTACAACTGCTGCAGTGCCCTCTTCTTTGAGCTACCCTTGCAGACTGTGTGAAGGTTTCAGCCTGTGCAGAAAGAAGCTGGTGATGGTACATGTGGGGCTAGATCACATTTCTTACATAGCACATATGAAATCTCTTGACTGATTTTGTGTGTAGTACTAGTTACTGTATTTTTCAAAACTTCCAGCGATTAGGGTAGAATTAGGCTGCAGTAGCACAAAGAGGCTAGGCTATGTTTTAGTAAAATTCTGTGACTTCGGACATAATCAGGTTTTTGTAAAGTAAAATTATATCTTTTTTCCTATGGAAGTGTTTGCTTACAATTTTATATCCTGTATTTTTACAGTATTTTTAAATGTGTTTCAAGCTAAAATCATGGGAAGGCTGATACAGTAGCTGAATAGTTCTAAGCATAGTCAGAGAAGCCTCGCTGCCTCAACCACTTAAATCTAGACTGTTTTAAAACTATCAGATATAATAAAAGGTATTAATCCTTTATAAACTTCTGATGACTTAGTGATTATAATATGCTTTAAAGAAGGAAGCCCTTTATTATGTGGGTTATGGTTTAGGATGCCCAGTTGTAGTTTATTGAGGTATGATTGCTTTCAGTTAAGGAAGATTTTGTAAAACTGAAAGCCAGTAGGAATATTCCATTCTTACTTTCATTAGAAGGCAATAAATTAAAGCAAATATTCTCTTTTCCTGTTGATTCTCTCTGCAGCATTTGAAAGCTATACACAGAGACTTGAAAAAGCACTGGCTGCTAGTACCAGCTTTGTGGTTTTTGTTGCTGTGTTTCATCTTGGCTTGTTAAGAAATTACGAGTAGTAATAAGATGTATTTTGAAGTACTTTACGTGAGTTTTGCTGACTGTGCTCCCCAAGTTGAAATTTATCTTTTGCTGTAAGGCGAGGCTGCTGGGTGCAGAAAGTAGAACTTTTTTTCCGCAACTACTCTGTCTGAAATGGATTGCCACAGGAGCTAAGAACAGAGGCAGTCTATAACACTGCTCTTAAGCACAAAGTGTGCTATTTCATCTTTCTCTGACATAAACCTGAGGCAGCTTTGATCTTATTTTTCTAAAACAGTGTGTATCATGTATTTCAAAACAAAGTGCTATGCTGGACCCAGATGGTGTCCTAAAGGAGAGATAAGGGAATGGCCCATGTGCAACAGATGTTACCTGAGCCCATTAATGAGCTGCTGAAAAGCATCGAGATGATTTGATGATCTTTCCTTATTTAACACAGCAGTTTCTGTTAACAGTATGGGTAAACAGACATTTGTTCACAGTACCAACTTTTACTTAACCTTCTGAAAATAGAACCACCTATATAAAATATTTTCAGAGTTCTGTGTTCTTCTGAAGGCTTACTTCTGAGGTTCTTATACTAAATAATGTCTCTGTAGAAGGTGATGCAGTGCATGTTTATAGTTGGGAGGAAGATGCTTCTTGGTTTTTGAAGAGATTTGTATCTGGTTCTGCCAGTACTGATGCTGAGGAGAGCGTGGTGCTGTATATATTTTGTCTCTCACCAGTACATCTCTGTTACAGTCTACTGAAGAAGCACCAAGAAATTATTTGAAAGGGAAAAGGTAGGTAGATTCCTGTGCTGTTAAGGGTAGCAGAAGGGACTTTTTTTCTGGATGTTGTGTGTGTTACTTTCTCCTGAATCTGAATCGAAGGCGCAAGGCTCAGGTGCACACAGACCTCTTGGTCTGCTTACTGAAAATGATGAGCCCATTATAGAGAAGGGGAGAATTTCCTTCCCAGAGGTGATCCCCTGGGATGCTCTCCCACCTTCGCCGCTCCGGGGGTGATGTAGACCTCGATGCTTTTCATGAGGAAGAGGTAGTGGGGCAGCGAGAGGGCTCTGCGGTCTGCTGCCGCGGTGAAGCTGCGGCGTACCGGTGCGGGGCTGGGTGGTGGCGGCTGGCTGGAGTAAGAGGTTTGTCAGGATAGTGATTTTAACAGCTGCCATTGGGAATCCTGTGGCAGACTAGGTTTCTCTCTCAGGTTTTGAATTCTTAGTGTTCTCCGAAATTGTATCTTGCACAAAAAAGTTGAAATAGGGACTTTGTTGCAAGTGATAAAGCACTTACACTTGTTCCATAACCTCTGAAAATAAGAGCATTAAGTACAGTCTTTTATA